GTGAGTTCGGGGTCTGTTAGAAGATTAAGCTTTTTTAGTTCCAATTCGTTGAGAGTTTTCTTAAAGGTTTCCAAGTTTGTCGAGTTCACAGTTTTTGAGTCAAGTTCGTTCCAGTCTTTTATTGTTCGAGGGAAGAATGAATATTTTCTTGGGTCTATTTTACATGCCTGGATTTGGTAGGACCGATCGTGTTGTTTTCTGGACCTCCTCATTGGTGTTTCGATTCGGTTTTCCTTTTTGATGGCTATTTGTTGTTTGTCAATTTTGAACATCATTTGGAGGGGTTGAGTGACGTCTTCTTGTTTGGAGTGAAAACCAGCCTAGGCGTTGGATCATGGATGAAACGCTTGAACGGTTTCTGTGGCTGTTCATAATAAATCTGGCTGCTCTCCTTTGGACCGATTCAAGTTTGCTGATGTTTATTTGGGTGTAGGGGTCCCATACCGAGCTCGAGTACTCAACCAATGGTCTGACAAGTGCTTTGTAGGCAAGCTCTTTAATTTTTATTGAGGATATTTTCAAGTTCCTCCTGAGAAATCCAAGGGTTTTGTTTGCTTTTGAGGTGATGTTTTTTATGTGGAGGTCCCAATTTAGCTTGCTTGATATTGTAAGTCCAAGATATTTTGCTGATGTAACTGCTTCCAGAATGTGACCATGGAGGGTGTAATTTTGTTTTATCGTCTGCTTTTTGTTAGAGATGGTTAGTACTGTGCATTTATTTGGGTGGAACATCATGCACCAGTCTTCTTCCAACTTCGCGAGTTTGTCCAGATCTTTTTGGAGTGTTTCGGCATCATTTTGATTGGTGATTGTGAGGTAGGCGATCGTGTCATCAGCGAATAGTCGTACGGATGATGTTAGTTTTTCCTGTAGATCATTGATGTAGAACAGAAATAGTCCCGGTCCTAGGACTGATCCTTGTGGTACCCCGGAGTCCACATTTACTGTGTCTGATGTTTCACTGTCAATGATAACTTTTTGGGTTCTGTCTTTTAGCCAGCTGCTTATCCAAGTGTTAAATTTTCCAGATATTCCGTAGGTTTTTAGTTTATGAATTAAGAGGCTAGGATTTACTTTGTCGAAAGCTTTTGCGAAATCCATGATTAGAATATCAGTTTGTTTGGCGGATTGTAGATTTTTGGAGACATCATCAACAAATTCGATTGGCTGGGTTTCACATGATCTGTTTTTCCGGAATCCATGTTGGAGAGGATGGAGGATGTTGTTTTCTCCATGGAGCATAATGGTACTCGCGATGATGTGTTCCATGACCTTACAGCACACTGAGGTGAGAGATATTGGCCTGTAGTTTTTCGCTCGAGATTTTTGCCCTTTTTTGTATACAGGGGTGACATTTGCTGAACGCCAGTCAACAGGGACGATTCCAGTGTCCAGTGATTTTTGGTAGATTAACTGGAGAATTGGGGCTATGTCGCTGGAGAGCTCCTTTAGTACACGGGGTGAGATGTTGTCAGGGCCTGGGGCGAATAATTCTATTTTATGCATTTGTTAAATATGATACCAGGTGTCAATCAGAAACATTTTTTATGACAATAATCTTCCGTTTAAATTATAATTAGCTACTAGTTAGTGTGAATTTACCAGACCTTGCTGGTAGGGGGCTCCCCAACCCTTGGAAACCTAAATTTCACTACAATGTAGAACTAGGAAATTATTCATTTCATTTATCACCATTGTTATTGTTTTCTTTACAGACATCATGTTTTAAGGCAAATGTAAAAGAAACCTTTTAACTATTATAGTATTTAATATGTTAGGACAAAATCCAGGAGTTTGTTAGGTAGGGGCTGTCCCAATCACCTGCTCTCTGGATTGGCACATGTGATAGTTTGTTTTAATTTATTATGTATAATAGCTGTTCTTAACAAAATTATGATATGGTTTATGTATTTTTACATTAAGATGATTGATCCCTGTTATGTAGCTATATGTTTTTATACTGTGTAACTATATACTTGTACGATGTAATTGTGATATATGACACTATAATAAACAAAATTGACTTGACTTGACTTGACTATATATATATATATATTGGTAATGCAATGACGAAAATGGAGATAAATTTTGAACAGAATTGGCAAATAGAGGATTTTCCCAAAAATTACTTATAGCCAACTAAATTATAACAAATGTTTAAATAATTTCATTATGCAATGAACGTTATAAGCGTATTGACATACATTAACATTCTACGGAAATATTTTAGTTATAGCAACTGTCGATATAATATGTATAAATATAGATTTGTTCCAATATATACAAAAGATACATGGTTGTGAAAAGTAAATCTACTCTTACTTAATACTCGTCGTATTTATTTAAACAAAATTAAGTCTTTAAAAACATCAAGTTATATGAATGCATAAGCACAGACTTTATCCAATTCTGTGTACAATATCTAATTTTAAACATAAACTTAGTCCCATGCAATTGAATAGATTCATGATATATGAAATCCATTTAAAATCAGCGAAATCATTTTTATGTAAATTCAGCATAAGCTTGTTCATTATACTAGACAATTAATTTTCACCTGTTATTAGTTTATACCAAAACATTATCATTCTAGATTTAATTTCAATATTCAGAGGGTACCTACCCATTTCACCATATACCATTATATTTGCTGTGGAGCTACGTATGTTTCAAATTCTTTTACAAAACTGTACATGTAATTTCTCAATCATATAATATTGGTATTTTCAAACCCCAAAATTTCTGTGGAGTACAAAAGGATTGGGGATATTAATACTGGAGTTGGTCAACATTACTTTGCATGAAAAATTCTTCTAAATCATTTAAATATATTGAGAACAAAAATGGGGAGAAGTTTTCACCTTGTTTTACCCCGATGTGACATGTGAAAAAAACAGTCATACCATTGTGAATTTTTACGCAAGATTTAGTGTTTGCATACAGATTAATTATAGCATTAAATATCTTTCCTGTGATATTATTCTTTAATAATTTCTTACATAAACCTACCCTCCAAACAGTATCAAACGCTTGAAAACAAATGAATGAACAGAACAGCTTTTTACTTTTTGAAAAGTATATAGATATTAAAGCATGAAGGATAAATATATTTTCAGTTGTAGAGTAGCCTTTCCTAAAACCAGCTTGAACATTGGAACAAGAAGTCTATTGTCTACTATTACGGAATTAGATAATCAGTTTTGACCACATCGGCCTTTGAAAAAAAATGAAACTTAAAGCGTTTCACCGTGTTTCTTTCTTCTTTACATATACAATTAATATACAGTATTGTTTTTCTAAAACAGATAAGGCCTAACAATCCAATATATGGACTTCAATATATATTTACGTAAAACACGTATTTCAATTAACTTATATTTACATATAAAATAATATTTAGTTTTCATATTGAGTTGGAAAATTGCGTATTTTCTTTTTTTTTAAGGTCGTAGACGTGATGGGATTGTAATCTACACATTAACACCAACTAATTCACTCAAAATATATTCATGCTATTTATTAAAAGTTGAGTATAAGTTATGAAGTAATTAAAATTTGGTTATCATAATGTCATTTTCAATGTTTCAGGAGTTATGACATCGCAATAACAATGTCATATATATAAATGAGAAAATAACCCAGATACATATTTATTATATATGTAATATATAATTCTCTGAACAACCCTTTTTTATAGAATAAAACTGAGACATATATTGGAACCTCGGCCTGGCAATATATATATATATATATATATATATATATATCTTTAATCCGATCCTGCCCCATTCCTGTAATTGCAATTCTTTTATCAAATATACCTTATACCAGATAAGGATAATTAAATATATACAATAAATATATATAAATAAGTCCGATCCTGCCCCGTTTCTATCTGTTCCTGTAAATCTTCCAATCCATATCAATACAATACTTTTTTTAAATTTGTTGCAATCCTTTTATCAAATGACGTATCATGTACCCGATAAAAAGATTTAATAATATAAATATATATATATATATAATTTAGTCTGATTCTGCCCCGATCATGTAATTGCAATCCTTTTATCAAATATATCTTATACCCGATAATGATACTTAAATGTATCTAATATATATAAATGCATTTATGTATATATAAAAATTAATAGATTTCTACCCTTTCCTGCCCGTTCCTGTAAATTGTTGAACCCCTAGTCATGGCATTTCGGTGATGTTTTCTGCACCAAATCGCATATTTCCAGATAGGATGTGACATAGAGAAGTAAATAACTTCAAGAAATGTGATATTTCACAGTAATAAAGAAGTATTTGGATCATAACCGGGTCATATGGGGTAGTATTGGGTGGTATGGGGTAGTATTGGGTCATAGTCCAGCAATTCAGTGATGTTTTCGGCACCAAATCGCATATTTTCCCGATAAAATATGGCAGATGGAAGTAAATAACGTCTACAAAGGTTATGGGGTCGTATGGGGTGGTATTGGGTAATATTGGGTAATTAGACGCGCCCCCTCTTGAAAAATATATCTTAATATATATAACATTAAATTCAAATAAAATGTATTCAATATGGTATTGATGTAATTACTTTGGTACCGAGCGACTTTAAATTCTTGGTACGGTTGTAACACATCTTGTAACAATGTAATATTAATATTGTTATTCAATATGCCTAGTAAAAAACAGTAGCTGTTCGCATGTACACATTTTGTAAAGCAAGACAACTTCATTGGTCAAGCTTACTAAATAGCGTTAATCCTAGCGTGTAGATATGTAGTTATGCTCTCTAGAATCTATAGTAGGGTCCTACCTAGGCCTACTGTCGAAAAAAAAATCCCCATCCCTTCCACAATTCGCACAACAAACACTACTAGTAGTATGCAGAGTAGCAGGCCTTAGGCCTACAGGATGCGAATGTAAATAAACGCGACTGTGCCAGGGTCATTGATAATAATACCAATATCTGGCACAGTACTTGGATAGTTTGTTATACAAACCTTCAGCTTGAGGAAATCAAGCATAGCTCTCTTCTCGGCATTACCAGGACCGATATGTCGCTCCGAAAAGTCGTCATGTTTTGGATGGAGTAAGTCAATAGTTGAACTATGGCGCACAACTTGTGTGGATCGTACGGCGCCAGCAAGCTTTTCTGTCCGATATCTGGACCACACATTTTTGATACAGCTTCTCGAAAAGACACAGAACTTTTGTGCCTTAAACATTGCTCCCTGTGGGTAAATTTCAAACAGAAAGTTACCGGAAAGAGACCAAGAGAGTCTCACGTACTCGATGTCCTTGTGAGTTTCTCGGTTGTGTTGTTTTGAAGAGCGAGTTGAAGAGCGCTCAGTCAAGGTGAAGGTCGTTTTCGTCATCCAATCAAAATTCTTTAATGTGCCAAAGCCCATTTTTGGCTTCAATTTAATACTTTGCGTGCATAGGGGCAAAGCTTATTGGACATTTTTATATTTTATAATAAGCGTGGTATTCAGCGGTACGAGAAAAATTATGCCTTTATCGACACAGATCTTAGTTTGTCATTTTTGTTTTATTATATTTTATCACGGAATTAGATTAGATATCTAAGTCCGTGTTTTTATTAATTGTATTTTTTTCTTTAGGTCACATTCGGCCTAACGTTAGCCTAACATTAGGCCTAGGTGGTTTTTTTAACTCTGCTATAAAAGGTATATCTGTCAAAAAGACTGTATGTTCCAAAAAAAAAAAAGATTTGCGCGAGATACTTACAAAATTTCAATTTAGAATACAATCTGTATATATATAAATACCATGTAAATACAATCTGTATATATAAAAAATACCATGTAAATACAATCTGAAAACAACTTTAACTTATGAACACCATGAGTAAATAAAAAGTTCTACTCTTTTGTTTTTTCCCTCTTGATTTTGCATTTCTTTAAATTGTTTCATGGATCTGACTACGCAATCCAAGTGTTATTGTATGCTGGATGGTTTTTTATATAGGCTTTATAGTTAATGTGTTCATGTAAATCGTTTTTGAATAAAAATCTAAGCTAGCGCTATATAAATATATTGCACATTAAAATATTAATATTGAGAGGCTCATTAATTCTTCCATATATGTATGGCATGTATGAAATATTTAAGATAAATGTTCCATACTGTTGTAAGAATGTTTCTGCACAAATGCATGGTGTGTATGAAATGTTAAATATGAATGTTACATACAGTTGTATGGTGTGAATAAAATGTTTAATATGAATGTTTCTATACGGATGTATGATGTGTATGACTATTTTTATATAACTGTTCTTTACAGGTGTCTGAAATATTTGATATGCATGTTCTATACAGATCTATGGTGTGTATGAGTAAATATGTAATGTTTGAAATAAATATGTCATAAATTAGCATGCTCTGTTATGATCATGTTAGTACACACGATCAGTAAGTCAGATTAATATTCTCTACAGACCCAATACTTAGAAAACTGGGTATATGAAATGAGTATGGTTAACATGAAATGAGCATGGTTAACATGAAATGTGTACGTATGGAATGTTTAGGATGAGAGTACTGTGAAGTATGTTATAGTCTCCAAAATATTGTCATGTGTATGTGCTTTGAAAAACTGAATAAAAGTATAAATTAAAAAAATAAATTCTTCCATATATCTATCCTAAAGCATGTTATGTAAGCATGATTATCAATAAATTGTTTGTGTTGCATTGCAGGTGTTAATTTAATAAACATGTTCTTGCAGTGATGTTGAAACCTGTTTTCTACCACAACCAATGTAGGTTTCCTCACTCATGACTCATTGGATAAACCTACTAGGAGTTGGTAAACATTTTTGGTTATACTAGTGGGTGACACCCTGGACGTGATTTCATTGGTCAATCTTTGATTGATTTATGACGTCACGTAACAATCCTTTTCGACGTCATTTTCCATTGTGACGTCATGCTCCATGGCAATTGTCCCCCCCCCCCCAAAAAAAAAACACAACAACAACCAAATGTGTTGTTGTTTTTCAGGTAAAATACGAACTTTATGGGAGAAACAGGTCCCCAAACTCGTAATGATTAGTTATATCACGTTTATCTAACTCGAGATAAATTAGTTAATTTTTATATTATTTAAGACACTCGATGAAGTATGTGCCTTTATACAATTTGACGATTAAATAACTCGAGTTAGATAAACATGATAAACAACCATCGCTTGTTGGGAAACCTCTACTGGTTACCCAGTGGATAACAAGTACACTGGACGTTATTTCATCAGTCAACCTTCTACTGAATTGTGACACTTTGCGACGTCATCTTCCATTGTGACGTCATAGTTTCATGACAACTGTTTCCCCTAACGGAAACAAAAGTAATATATTTCCAAGAGAACCCTGGGTTTCTAGATATATCAGAACGTTGTGGAAGTAAAACGTCCCTTAATTAACTCGTGATGGTTGATTTTCATATTTATCTAACTATCGTTAGTTACCTTTCAAACTGTGAAAGACACTGAGAAAATATCGTGTCTTTATATTCAATTAGAAAATTAACTAACTCGAGTTATAGACAAACATTATACAACCAAACATCACCCGTTAGAGAACCGCTATGTATTAGTGTATGGATAACTGTATGTCACTGACGCACACGTTTCAACATCATTGTATCAACAAATATTTATTCTGAACACAAAACGTATCCAAGAAATTCTGAGAAATACCTATAAAACTGTCTGGTTCCTGTCTATTCTAACAGAGAATGGATAGTTTTTTGGCCTTTCTCCTTTACATGAAGATTCGTGTCTTCAACAAGGAAGGCTTAATGATATGTTTAGCCTACCCGAGAATAATGTTGTTGCATTCTTTTTAAGATACCACCAAAATGTTTATTAACGTATCCCTTTAAGTTTATACATCTTTAGAAACACTTCGTTTTTGAATGCATATCAATATAATATTTTACACGTTTAGGCGCGATGCCAAGTGTGTTTGCTGGCTGTTCCAGTTAAAACCAGAATCGACCCGATATATGTTACGTGTAAGTGGAGTTGTACATATGTAGGTCTCGGGTGCACTGTATTGTTCACTAGTAACCTTGCATGAATAAAATATACATAGGAACAATACGACATGGTTGATAGGATGTGCATATACATTGTATACAAGCCCATGCTCGTAGCTGCGATGTGAAGCAATAAGCAGGTGCCAAAAATATCAAATAAACTATTCAATGTGTATTTATTACGTGTGGGCTGATATAGAGATAGTATATATGTGTACCGTAGAAAATCCAAAAATAAAAACCTAAATATTGAACATATAAAACACTCAAATATTGCCTAGAAGCCCCAGGTAGCACCATATAGAAATTCTAGATTTTCACACAATTTTTGTTCTGGGGCGGAGACGCCTTAGGATGGCTAGATGATACAATTCGCTTGCACGTCATGTTAAGTCCAGGTATCTGTAACTTCTTAACTAAACGAACTCAATATATAAATCAACGAAACTATCTAACTTTCTGTCGGATGGAAAAAGAAATGATAACTACTAGTAGAAAAGAATAATTTTGCACATTTTAAAAAAAAATCGATTTTTTTAAAAAGTATGTTCCTTAAAGTTTCTTGAATTGTTTCAAATCAAAACAAAGGGGTACAAGTTTCCACATGCTAATTGTGAGGTTAAAGCACACGAAGATACACATTCTGCTCTCCAAACCAAAGCACTCCTTCAAAGCCAAAACACTATACAGAGAAACTCCAACGACACACTTCACCAAGATAATCAACTAAGTCACCCCACCGACACGCTTCACCAAGATAATCAACTAAGTCACTCCGCCGACACGCTTCACCAAGATAATCAACTAAGTCACTCCACTAAGGTACTCAGCAAACATACTCCACCAAAATACTCCTACAGACCGATATACTTCTCCAAAATATTCTACCAAGACGCTCCATTAGACAACACTCCACCAAGACCACAGTCAAGATACTTTGAACATCGTGATGACACTCCGCTAAGATACTCCACTAAAACATTTCTCCAAGACACCCCAACAGGTCATTCCACCTGCACACTCCATCAAGACCTTCAGCCAAGATTCTGCACCAAGACAATCTGCCAGAACACTCTTTCAGAAAATACTCCAACGAGATGTTCCATCGAGATACACAACAAAATTACTTTGAACATCGTTTCTCCAAGACATTCCAACAGGTCACTTATACCTACAATATCCAACAAGACTTTCATCCGAGATACTCCACAAAGACACTCTGCCTGGACACGCCATTAAGATCTCCCCTAAGACACTCCACGGAGGTTTACAATCAAGAAAATCCTACGAGACATTCCACTAAGTCACTCTAACGACACGCCAAGTACCCCAATAAGATACTCGAATGCCATTCAAACGAGAATCCATCAAGACATACCCCATCAAGACATACTCCATCAAGTTACGCCATCCAGACAATCCAACGAGACATTCCAACAAAACAATCCATCAGGGTACGCCATCAAGACAATCCATCAAGACATTCCAACAAGGTACGCCATCAAGACAATCCATCAAGACATTCCAACAAGGTACGCCATCAAGACAATCCATCAAGACATTCCAACAAGGTACGCCATCAAGACAATCCATCAAGACATTCCAACAAGGTACGCCATCAAGACAATCCATCAAGACATTCCAACAAGGTACGCCATCAAGACAATCCATCAAGACATTCCAACAAGGTACGCCATCAAGACAATCCATCAAGACATTCCAACAAGGTACGCCATCAAGACAATCCATCAAGACATTCCAACAAGGTACGCCATCAAGCCAATCCAAGAAGACATTCCAGCTATCCATCAAGAAACGCCATTAAGACAATTCACCAAAGTAAGCCATCAAGACAATCCAACAAGACGTTCCATCAAGTTACGCCATCAAGACAATCCACCAAGGTACGTCATCAAGTGAATCTAACAAAACAATCCATCAAGCTAGGCCATGAAGACAATCAAACAAAACAATCCATCAAGGTACGCCATGAAGACAATCAAACAAAACAATCCATCAAGGTAGGCCATCGAGACAATCCATTAAGACATTCCATCAATGTACGCCATTAAGACAATTCATTAAAGTACGCCATCAAGACAATTTATCAAGACAATCCATTAAGCTACGTCATCAAGTCAATCAAACAAAACAACCCATCAAGCTACGCCCTCAAGACAATCCAACAAGACGTTCCATCAAGGTAGGCCATCAAGACAATCCATCAAGACATTCCATCAAGGTACGCCATTAAGACATTCCATGAAGTTACGCCATCAAGACATTCCATCAAGGTACGCCATTAAGACATTCCATGAAGTTACGCCATCAAGATATTCCATCAAGGTACGCCATTAAGACAATCCTTCAAGGAACACCATTAAGACATTACATCATGGTACGTCAACAAGACATTCCATCAAGTTACGCCATCAAGACAATCCAACAAGACATTCCAACAATCCATCAAGGTACGCCATCAAGACAATCCAACAAGACATTCCAACAATCCATCATGGTAGGCCATTAAGACAATCCAACATGCACATTACTAATACCTTCCTTCAAGACACACTTAAAGTCGGTGAATGGTATCCCAGCTATAGAGAAAACCGCCGAGACGAGGTTGTCCTTGTCTGTCTCCGGATTGGTCATTCATACATAACCCATTTTTATTGATTGTTAGGTCGTGACCAGCCTCAATGAATAGCATGTCACGAACCATTTACAGTAAAACACTTGTTTTGAGATTGCATTGATCTTCAGCCAATAAGAGCTTTTTGTATAATGATATAACAGATCTCAACTCTCTTTTCGAAACAGACAGTGTCTCTACCATTCTAACCTACCTAAATAGTGTTGGTCTGGTCAAAACGATATAACTTACCATAGCCAATTTATCTTTTCCAAGTAGATTTTTGTCCTTTATCTATTCGTTCGTTTGATGTCATTTCCTTTACCATCTACTTTTTATTGGCCCTTAGCCTAATGAAGAATCCAATAACTAATTAACCACCAAGACACTACACACATAGGTCCGCCATTAAGTCATCTATCAAGGTACTCCATCAAAATATCCATCATGATACTCAACTCAAGTACCCCACCAATAAACCCAACATCCATACGTCGCCAAGATTCTTCTCTAAACAACGATACTTTATCAAGATCTTCATCCGAGACACATCATCAACACACTTCATCGAGAGATCCCAACAAGACATCGTCCTCGATACTCCAGTGAGCGTAACCCCTGGTGGATCGAGGATGCTAAGTAATTTCACAAATACACTCGACCAAAACAGTCCAAGATATCATTTGACTACTTGTGTATAGTAAGCGTGGACAACCACACTCGTGTACTACGTATATAAAAACACCTGCGCAAATCAGTGACGTGAGTTGGTTCGTTCCAAACACGTAACAACAAATCAACAACACACCATTAAATTTTTCTTGAAGAATTTATATTCAAAAAGATACAAAAAGCAAAACATCAGTGGTCATCGTACAGATTATTTAAACGTCATTAAACGTTTACACAAATCACAGACTTACAGTCCTTCATTACTAAGTACACGTACACAGGATATGATGACGTTAAAAAGGCGTTGGTCTACGCGATTACTGTCGAGGGTTACCACCAAGTTGACGACTGGCAAGAGAACTAAAGTAATTTAAAGAATATAAATGAACCCTGTGAAACAATGCCTTTCACTGGCACGTGATGTTCTGAACATGAACACACTGTAAACTTGCTCATATTAATATATCTACTGTTTTACTTATCATTACCGCTCTGGTGAGCTGAAAAAAAGTGTGGGGCCTAATAACTCCTTTAAACTATCATTCGATTAACCTCTATCAAGTTAAACATCCATTCGGCGGAGTTGGATTTATTAATGTAGACCAATTCCCTCTATGCTGCCCATTATAAACGGACGAGTTTTCAAGCAAACAGCTCATCGGAAGGCTATCAAGCAAATAGCCATGTGCGCTACAAAGTTAGGGTCATTCAGTACCAAAGTGTTTTATACAAGGCTGGATACCGGTTTTCAGTACCAGTCTCCAGATCAGCTATCCTTCAAATGATTGTCTATAAGCATCCTTTACTCTATTGTAACATCTCCTCTGTCCTTTAAAGCTTCTCTTTGTCCTTCGTAAGAGATTTTCAACTCCATAATGCATTATATCTTAAAAAATGTGTTCACTGAAATCAATGCAACTTCCAGCATTGCAACATAAAGAAATAAACAACTTGTCTGTTTCACTTTAACTCCAAAGTCTGCAACATTCATCCGGCGAAATTGTTGTTAACGAAACCATTTCCTTGGAACTGTTGTTGTCCAGGTTGCTGAAATCTACCATTTTGGAAATTTTGGTTACCTCCTTGGTTCGCGTTGAAATTGTTTCCGTTGCGTGCAATGTAAGGACTGTTCCAATTGGTTGAGTCTGACCAGGCAATGACGCAACACGTCAATGGTGCTCCAGCATTTCCGGTCTGTAAGCTCATCGAATTTCCGCCTCTTCCGAGATCGTCCCGGCCCTCGTGCAACTGAAGTAACAAAATCAAACAATATAAAATGTGTGCTTTCTGTCGTTCCAAGTATAGCTTTGTGATTAATAGGAGATTACCGTTTGGCTATTTCCATATCTTACACTTTATCGTCACTCTTCTGTAATTTATACAGTACAAACTGTCAAAATATTATTAGAAGAATGATATTAATAGAATGATTGGCAATAGCACAATAAAAATATATTTCAAATTATTAATTCATTTTCAAAGATACTTATTTGTCACTACTTATTCAAATGTCGGTTAATATAATGATACGGAATCAGTTATACTAGAGAGAGAACGGACATGTTTTGCTTGCAGAGCAGATATAGTGCTTGTAAGGTCGGTATGGTGCTTGCAGAGCAGATATAGTGCTTGTAAGGTCGGTATGGTGTTTGAAGGGTATATATAGTGCTTGTAAGGTCGGTATGGTGCTTGAAGGGCAGATATTGTGCTTGTAAGGTCGGTATGGTGCTTAAAGGGCAGATATAGTGCTTGTAAGGTCGGCATGGTGCTTAAAGGGAAGATATAGTGCTTGTAAGATCGGTATGGTGCTTGAAGGGCAGATATAGTGCTTGTAAGGTCGGTATGGCGCTTAAAGGGCAGATATAGTGCTTGTAAGGTCGGCATGGCAATTAAAGGGAAGATATAGTGCTTGTAAGGTCGGTATAGTGCTTGAAGGGCAAATATAGTGTTTGTAAGGTGGGTATGGCGCTTAAAGCTTGTAAGGTCGGCATGGTGCTTAAAGGGTAGATATAGTGCTTGTAAGGTCGGTATGGCGCTTAAAGGACAGATGTACATGCAGTGCTTGCAGAGCATATGGCATGTAAACATATTGAACCTTTATATAGCACCCATAATGTTTGCAAAATTACTCTATGGAGCTTTACAACACAAGATAATAGTGTTTCAGATTACAGATAAGGATTGAACAAATTATCGGCATTCGCTAAAGTCCATGATAAATATAGCCTGCATAGTTCCATTATTAAATATAATGTGATGTACCGATATTCGTGTCTGTTCAGTTCAAGAATGTTACACTTTTAAGGACCAGTACTATTTTAATCGTTGAATATTCTCAGCTCCTAAAATGTCTATCTTGTTGTCATCAACACATTTTTAATTGGGATGGCCTAGTGTTGAACCTCGAACCAAACTTACCACTACCGCCCTGCCTAGGACGCCCGTGTCCCCGAGGAGGTTCATCAGGGGGAGGACCAAGTCTGAGTCAATTACACCCGCGTTAGACTGGCGCAGGTTACCCATGTCTCCTTCGTGGGAGTTTCCTCTGTAACCAAAGTCCACAAAGATTAGTCAACTTAACAAGAAAAAAGGAAAAATGGTCAATTTTACCAGAAAGTCAATAGTATATGAAATTATATTTAGGAGAATGTTCGTTGATGCAATCTAAATTTTAAGGAATAGAGACCTACGCAACTCTGCTCCCTCACAAAATATCACTATTTCGTGAGCTCAGTGTCACTCTCACGTAAATTTAAAAAAAAAATACACAGTTAGATCCAAGCTGGTGTATTTGTTATACAAAATAAATTATTATCTAAGTTATGGGTTGACAAATCTGATTGCAAACGTTCAGGGCGGTCAATGAGAAGTGTGTCTTTCTTTGCAAGACTTACGTTCCAAGGTTGTTCGGTGATCCGTGGAATGAAAAAGTATCCGAGTCGAAATGCGGACCAGAAGCATAGCACCCGCGTCCAATGTCGCCGTACTCGTGAATGTGGATTCCGTGCTCCGTGTCGCTCATCAGACTTGGCGGCAAACCTACCACCTGCACACGCACGCGCGTTGGGCCCCCTGTTCTCTGTTGATTTAGATGTAAATAAATATTAGTTTAGTCTTTTGTTAATTTACAGGAAGTGAAGTACATATAATTGACATTTCCCATTAGCTGCATGTGTATAGCTGATATTTCAGAGTCATGCGTCCAGATGATGGAGTTATATTTAAACTGACAGAATATGATGGAGTGAGCTGTAGATACCGCCATTAGTATATTTATGATTATGAAGTATTTGTCACTCATGATACATGAAGTAGATATGTACGCTACACACTCATCTATTTTCAAGGATATGCAAATTTTTGTAAACAAAAGCAATTACAATATATGTGCAGAAGGATGCATTTGAATAATAAAATTTGTGAATCTATTTTTCCATATTTTCATTCGGTGTGGTAATGTCCTTCTATATCCTTTTTATGAAGAGTGTAATTTATGAGGGTATAACTGCAACTGCTTTTTTTCAGCTTGTACTGACTCGTTCTAAAAACATCAAATTATTTAAAACGTTCCCCGGCACTTAAGTCGATGCCAATTTAAAATAATTGTTTATTAATTTCAACTATTTGTTTCCTGAAAAGTAAAAACAATTAAAGCAAATATGTTATGTAGTTGTTTTATCTTTAAGCTTTGTTTAGAAAACAGCCCACCATGATAAGTATGGCTATGACACATGTGGCAGTTATACCAGTATGTCTGCCACATATTTGCAATTCATTGCTTTGATATGCTAGCTAGAGAAATATTTTGACCACAGGCACTTTTTGTTATTCGAGTCCCGAAAGCAAAAACGAAATTTTTGTTTTATGTTGAAGAATCTTTGGCTCGACTTGTGTTGCTTCCATGTACTTACCGCTTGCTGGAAGTCAACTCGTCCCCTGATGTTCGAACCCGTCTCATTAAAGTAACACGTGCCGTACACGAACAGGTCCCTGCCCGCGAGGACTTGGTTATTCTGGAACCCTGGTTGAGGGCCGGGTTGGGGCACAGGCTGTATCGGTCCGATTGGTATCGGCTCTACAGGAAAAAGGGACACGCACAATTTGTCTCGATTCACCCAATATTTAATAATAGAAAAATTGTTATTAAAGTCGCATAATCAAGCTATATTTTGTAAAATTAATTAATAAATAAATATGAAAAAAATATCAACACAAAATTAATACACAGCGGTGTGTGCTATAGAAGAGAAATACACTATACAAAAATATTACGAATGTCTAAATGCTTGTGGTTGTATATCCAATATGTTACAGGACGTTTCTGTGTCGTTATTTCTTTGAATAATGGTTATGTAATGTTTTATGCCATATGCACAAAATCATAATTGTATATTTATAAATAATGTTTTGAGTACTGAGAATTATTTGTTGTTTGCAGTATTCGCTTTCTTGAAAGTTAGAATAATAGACCATTTTGCTAAATTATTTGGATACACATTGTCCCTTTAAACATATAAATGGAAATTAGGTTGATGCTGAATACGTAGAAAGTATAAAAAGCGGAAATGTTTCTGATGTGATATTACGCTAAAGCTAACGTGAATTAAATCATAACATCCCCCCCCCCCCCCCCCCCCCAAGTGTCACTAGATAAAAAAAAAACACCCAGCAAAACCAAAAAACGAAATTGCTTAATAAAATAACCTATTATATTTACTATCTGTTGTCAATCATATCCATATGGATGCATATTAGTCCATACATACATTGCTTTTTTACTTAGAATTAAGTACATCAATAGCTATTTTTTCTCTTTATTTCCTCATTTATATAATATATGAGTTTAAATTAAGGCGATTTTAAGAGAAGAGATACATTATCTACCTATAGGAAGAAATTAAATAAGGGGGGGAAAAAGGGGAAAACATCATTGCATTGAAATTGATACGTAAATTGAGCGGTAAATATTCTCCTGTATATTATCATATAATAATTTAGTTTTGCCTATCTCTCCCATAATATACTTTTTGGTATATATCGTATAAACCTAAAAAGAAAAAGAAAATTACAACGCAGCTTTTTTTTTTAGAGCAGTTGTTCAGTTTACGTAAAAAATAAATAAATCTTTAACTGTGCATTTACAACGTGTTTGTCTACTTTTTTTTAAATTAAATTATAAAGAATGACCAAGATTTTGTTTTGGTATATACGGTATAGACCGAAAAAAAATGTGCCCTTTTTGGCATAAACCGCTTCACAGATTTATGCAAAGAGCACAGGTTTATTTCGGTATATACCGTATATACCAAAACAAAATCTTGGTCAATCCTTAAAAATATTATGTTAATTATGTACTTACGAAAGCCCTGTCCGGGAACGATGGGTCCATTATTTCTATCGTTTATATTAGTTCCAGGGAAAGGTTGGAACTGACCAGTGGTCAGCTGTACCACAGTAAGACACAAACACACAACCAGCAGCATCGCTAATACTGTTCAGATAAATAGCTGGATAAGTTATAATAAGAAACCCTGTACGAAACTGCCTTGTCGAACTTTGGTAATAATGTTTGAAATGTCCACACAGGTGTTCTACCTCGGATCTGCCACTCTGTATGCAGGTGGGGTTGATATAGGTATTGGGGTGTTACAGGTGTATACCGGAAGTTATGTACGTACATAAGGTGACAGTGTCTTGACAGTTATGACGGATAACGTGATCAACCGTCGTTCGGGATGTTTGTCCAATGATTTTACACCTGTAAAATACGTTGACGTCATCGCCCCCTCAGGCACGACCGGGTAGAAATGTTTATATCTCTACGTCATACGGTATATTTCATTCATACGAATATCCCACAGGCTCAAGAATATTTTCAAGCTCAATTTATCATTTTTCTTCTTCTTCAACTTTTTATTCCAAACGTAAACAATGTGACAAGAAAGTTTTAAAAGACATATATAATACAAACTGTGTCATATCTGTATATAACGTACAAACTACTATATAGATTTGTATTACGTAAAAAGTATTATGTACTTGTATAAAGAACGTAAAAACTACTATGTATCTGTATAGAGAACCTACCAATCATTATATCTGTGTATTGTTTATACGACGTACAGATATAGCCAAGCTACACGTTATTATTTACGATGATTTGTATGATGGTCAAAATAAGATAATATTGAAAAAGAATAGGAATTAGTGCTTATATATAACAACAGTATTTACACAATGGTTTGTTTCCGTCGAAATCGCTTACTGAATGTCTTCTTCAGAAACTTAACTGTCTATATACCTTAGCTAACCTCTGTTACAGAAAATGTGTTTTAACTTATACAATTTTACACGGTGCCCAATCTAGTTTTATTATTGTTATTTATTTTACCTTTGTAGAACAAATCACTACTAGAATATAACGGCTAGATCTGTTACTGTAAACAAACTTCATGTACCAAAATTCAAAACAACAAATGTTAAATGTTCTTTTTTGTATAATTGTACAGCATTATGGAATGACTTAAGTGACAATTTGAGAGGAGATCTAACTTATAGTACATTAAGTAATTTATTTAAAGCAATATACGTGTAATCACTCTTATATTGATTTATCTTATATTATAATTGTTACTGTGCTATATTGTATGTCCAACATATTGTTATATATTGTATGACCAATGTATCGTTATATATTGTATGTCCAATGTATTGTTATATATTGTATGTCCAATGTATTGTTATATATTGTATGTCCAATGTAT